ATAAAAAAAGAAACAATCAAAGAAAAAAATTCAAAAGGAAAAGAAATAGAGACTGCCATATATGAACAGCGTTTAAACAACGAAGACAATTCATAAAGAGAGATAAAAGAAAAGAGACCATCCTCAATAACAAGTAATTTATTGTGTGGCCACTTTTATACATTTTCGTGGCCAAAAATCGAAATGGGAATAAGACTCATTTAGTGCACAAGTATTGAGCAATGCGTGCTTTTCGTTGCAGCACCTTCCAGGAACAAATGAATCATATGTTCCTATATAACTGCTAAATTGATGATAACTCACGTAAAAAAATCGAATTTTAATCGATATTCATAGATATTGAAGATAAGCGCTCTTCATGAGATTCTAACAGGAGCCTATAATTTTTCCATGATTTTTTAGATTTTTCTCATTAAGAACCTATGGACTTGCCACTGCACTAAAATCAAACGATCGAATAGAAGTTGAAAATCCTATATAAATTGTTTCAAAATTCAGATGATGCAATAACACTATGAATCGATTTAAATCCAAGAGATTTTTAATCCATTATTGTGATTTCTTGGAAAAAAATTGGTCTTAGCCGATTAAAACTGATTTTTGAGGAATAAAATCGATTTTCATCAGTTTTTGTGTAAAATTTTATCAGATATTGTTATATTTAATCTGATCTTTATAAATCTTTTTATGCATCAGTATGGTTAAAATCCAATGATTTTCTAATTCATTATTCCAATATCTAGGGAAGAAAATCGATTATAATTGAAAATAGTCACTTTAATCGGTTCTTTTCGATTATTTCAGAAAAATTAATTTTTATCTAATTTTTCTGATTGTTCTATACATGAGCACATTATCGATAAAAATCGATCTTTAGGTTTCTGGGGATAAAATCAGATAGAATCCATGGAATTTTTAATCGATTAAAATCAGTCATTAGATCTAATTTAATCGATTTTAATCAGCATAGTTTTGATTCTTTTTCTTTTACATCGAGGTACTAAGATATGTAGCTTGACGCATTTTATTTTGGAATACATATCGATAATAGATATGACCATTACGTTCATTGCTATCCATTTGATGGTTCCAGAGAAAACTATTAATGATATTAGTTAATTAATTTACAATTGATTTTTATGATTTAAATCAATTTATCATTTTCTATAAAAAAAAAAAACTCGTTCATATTCATTAGATTCACGTTTTTCATTATCAAATAACTTCTTCTTCAGTACAATTGAATCGTGTTTGAAGATATTCGTCATATTAATACAATAGGTTTTACATTCAGATGGATCAGGTCATTTCCATTTGTTGATAATACATATAATAGGAGAAATTATGTTCATTGATTTCGCCTATGCATCACGCAATTAGCTCAATCTCAAATGGCTAATGAGTGCCTATTTTGCCATTACTATTCCCTATCTCTATTTCATTCCAGAATCGTTCTATTGGTTGTTTAGTCGAAAGAAATACGATGAATGAACTTGAAGTTTGCTTACGAAAAATTACCAAAATCAATCGTCTTGAAGAAAGTGAATGGTTTCCACATTATATTAAATTGATTGAAGAAACCCGTATTGCAAAAAGAATCGAAACCCAAGCAGAGATAAAGAAAAGAGTAAAGATTTTACGTTTCTTACCTACACAGATTTTGTGTGACTGTATCAAATTTGTCACTATGTTACTATACACTAAAATTTCCTATGGACTCGGTGCGATGAATGAAGCTTTAAGTCCTTATAAGAACTTTATTATCGGAGCTGCTGTCGAAGGACTTGGTTATTTGGCTGCTGATTTTGCAATCATTACAATAATGGGAAGAAAATATTCACTGATCATGTTTGCATTGTTGACGGCAATTTCAGTATTTATAGTACCATTCGTGATGAAATCTTACCCTCTCTTATACTTACCTTGATTTCACAAGTAGGAAAATTTGGAGTTAGTGGTTCTATGTCGGTTTCGTGGCTTTATGTTCCCGAACTTTTTCCAACATATATGCGAGGTTCAGCCAATGGTGTATTTTTGTTTGTTGGTAGTTTTGGGGTGAGGGTTCAGAAACAAATTTACCTGCTACATTGTTAACAATAGCACAAACATAGTCCTATGGTCGAATATTGCTCTATGCTTATGGACTTCTAGCCACAATTCTCTCAAATGAACAACTAAAAGAGCTCAAAATTGCTGACAATATGTGTGAATTTTTCTTTGATGTTTTTGAACAAGCATGACAACATCCAACAAAAAAATGGAAAAAAATACCGATTCTGTATCTATTAAAAGATAAGCTTTATTAATGTATCACTGTAATATTGATTTCTCATTGTTGAGGTATTATGTAATACTGATAATTATGAAAGAGTTTCCTTCAAAGAACTAATACTTGTAGATTGTTTCAAGTTTCTGAAGAAAAACTACCCGTATGTGAATTAGTCCAATTATAATGAACTGAGAAAGTTACTATCTAAGAATAAGAAAATTATGCAAGATTCTACTTGAATATCACTCACATTCCCAAAAACCAACACTCGACTTTCTTGACTGCATTCTAAAATTTGCCAAGTCCCACGGAATCACTAAAAAACCCAATAGTCAGAATCCGACCAAATCCAACAATCGGATCTCATAGGATTCAAATCACTCGAATTCCGTACACCCGGATTTTGACATGGTCCATTGGGACTAGCTAAACTTGGACACGAAGCGAGTGATCCTAATATTCGTAGATCTGTGAACGGCATTTTATGATTTCTAGATTAAATCGAGAGGAAAATATCGTATCAAATCATGACAATGATACATAGTTCGATGTTATAATTAGCTATGCACATAAAGATAAGCAAATATGTAAGCAAGTGTATGATGAACTGATTCGAGCTGGCTATCGAATATGGATCGATTTCGATCAAATACACGGCAATGTTATAGATGCAATGGCACAAGCTATCGAACGACCTCATGCTATTATTATTTGCATGAGCGATCATTACCAGAAAAGTAACTTTTGTCGAACCGAAGTACAATATGCATTTCAACGAAAACTTAAAATGATACCAATTCTTCTGCAACAACATTATAAACCTAATGGTTGGCTTTCTCTTATAATTAGTCGATTACTCTATGTTGATTTTACTAAATATGAATTTTCCAAAGCGATTGAGATACTATTGAAGGAACTCAAATTAGCACAGGTAGATGATAATGGATCAGTCGTACCTGTGCAATCGAAAATAAATCTTCTAGTCCAATCGATTCCTGCCACGTTTTCAACAAAATTACCATCAGAACAGACGGTATTACCTAACAATATCCGAGAATGGACTAGTTCACACGTATATAGATGGCTTTCAGACAACAATCTTCCAGAAATGGTTCGTATTTTGTCAGACGTTGACGCTCCCGGTTTAATCTATCTAAGTGAATATATCATAAGTGGCGAATCACAACAAATTCTGTTATCACTTCAACAAGATTCACATCAACGTTCCAATGAGGATTTGTTACTTGTTGAATTAGCTCGTTTTCGAAGTTTAATCGAAAAAGAAGGACTCACAAGGATGACATCTGTTAAAGTATTGACACAAGCGAATCCTACAATCACAAATAGTAACCATTCCAAATGTTGTAACATTATGTAGTCCTGGAAATTGAAATGTGAATCGATCAGTAGCTAACCTCTCCCATGTAAAACTTTTTTGCCTTAATGATCGATTATTTACCTGAATATTAGATGCCATCAAAGTATCATCATCAAATGCAAATATTAATAATGAACAACCATCACCTAATGGATAATATTTTTATAGAATTAAAACAATTTATTTCATATTATTCATGAACATATTTTTTCTTTGAGATTTTTTTTCTATACTTAATGTTCATAGTATTCTCTATATTTGATTTTGATATTATTCTCTAGTTTGTTTTTTCTATAATTGATCTTGATCAGAGGTCTC